TCTACACGTCAATAAAATTGTCATTAGAATATTGTAAGAAACCATGAAAATATATCTACTTAACTCAGAAAGAGACTAACGTTTTGTAAGCTAGTTCTGGATAAAACAGTTCTTACTCAAAAATATGGAATTTTTTTTTTTTTTTTTTTTTTTCAAATGTACTAATTAGCCAATAGGAGTTGTTTAGATGTTTAATATATTTTAACCTATACATAAATTATAATAATCTTTCAAGGGAACAGAGTTTTTCAGCTATTCTGTATAAATTCACTTTTTGAGTTAATACACTATTATAATATTAGCAGTGCTATATTTATTCTAAATTACTTTCATTTTTGTTTTATACAGGACTACCATTGTCAACAATTATTTTTGTCCCATGACTTTTTACAAAACATAATGCAGGTAACTGTAAAGGGACCTCGCTGCTTGAGGAAAAACTTTCATAGATTTCTCCCAGATGGCGCTACGGCAAAAAGTCGTTAAAAAGCAAAACAAAGATCTGCAACAAGCACATGGAAAAATTCGTGATGTCCGTTGGTTTGTTCCATGGGTTAGTTAGCGTCTGGCACGGTTTGCTAGATTAGTTCGAACCCAGGCGGATCGAAGTGAATTTTTTCTAAGTGAATGAATATAATGTACAGTCGGTGCCCTCACTTATGTATCCTTAATAGTGGACACTTAAGTGAGATTGTTGACACTTAACTGTATCTGACACTTTTTAGATCTGTCTTTGCTAGTAAGATGGTAAGTTTAAACCCGTAAGAATCCCCGCTGACTCCAGTCCCGCTCCTGCGTTTTGCATCGCATAACAAATAAATTATTTTTATTTTATTTTATTTTTATTTTATTATATTTGAAAGTAAAATCTGATGAACTATTAAATTTGTTATGATTTGTTGAAAGTCATGGAACAAAAATTGTTATTTACGATGTTAGAAATATAGTCTGCGAGATTGTTAGCATTTAAAAAATCACCCTGTATAATAGAACATTTTAAATTAAAAATGCTCCAAGCGATTAACGTGACTATGTAGTGGTACCACGCATATTTTGGGGGATGAGCCTTTCTACCGATAAATATGAGAAACTTTAACTATTAGATCCTCACCTACGTTACATTAAGTATGTATGAGCATTAAGTATGGAACAGCTGATATTTCACAGCAACAGTGGCCCAGCGGTTAACACTACGGACGTTAGGATAAGGAGGTCACCGGTTCGTTTCCCGATTTTCGAATATATCTTTTCGAAATAGTTTTGGAAGCACTGGATAGCGCCGCGATATAGCAATCTTCCTAGTTTAAGACTAATTTGGTGTAGAAATAAAACTAACTGGATTAGCACTTGTATGTATAATGGAAACTTTTTATTTTTCAGTAATACACTCGTTCCTGCATTACAAGAAAAAGGCAGTCTTATTTTTGTTTTTTTTTTTATATTAGACATATTGTAATTAATAATAATAATAATTGATTAGGAATCGTTATAGTTTTCGTAACCTCACCATTAATATTATTATTGAAGTGAAGTCTAGTTACAGTTCATTGTGAAAGAGTTCGTCCAGAGAAATACTACCACCTTTACTGCGTTCTGTGCGTAAAATTACAGACACATGGGACTTGTCAACTTATTTATGTCTCAAGGTGATGGGCGCAGGTGCAGTGCCCCTCAGATCTTTGTGATTTAAAGCTCTGAGTGGCATTGCAGCTATTATACACAGGCGTGTCGCTTATCACTAGGCGCACGACTTGTTCGTCCCGTCACATGGTATCATAAAAAAAGGTACCTGCTGTTTTACTTAACTCAAACACGTACTAGAACGATGTAGCGTACATTAAGTCTTCATTAGTACAATCTTTTTTTTCATTGTAACAAGAAATTGCAGCCAGCAAGATAATGAACGTTATCTATACCTACCTAGCTGTAATAACACGTAGTGTTTATCCAGTAACGTGACAAAGTAAAGCTATAAATCGTCTGTTTGTGCAAGCGCAAATGCTCGGCAAATGTCACTTGTTTATCTGAAGTCAAGTACGAGTGTAGCACGACAATAATGATGAACAATGAAGAACGAGCGTAGTATTATTTGTAAGTCTTAATTCTATGTAGATTTTAAATTAACTCGAAATTCAAACGGATGTTGGTAGGTCAATGGATGTAATCTATTATTAGTACCATATGGGGTGGAACAAAACGGTGTAATTATATTTTGGTAATTATTAACAAAAAGACAATGTGACTGGGATAAAAAAGATTATGCTTTAATAAAATCAGGTCCTCTCTATCTGAAACTATATTAAACGCCCTTTGTTTACACGCTCACTATAAAAATGAAATGATATGATAAAAAAATCGTAAAACATTGGAATTAAAAAAGAACTTGATTAGAATATCATGTTTTGACTGCCTAAATGCCTATTAATAAAGAAACCTACTTTTGAAATACTCTCGAAAGTCTCGACTTTTTCCGGTATTTCCGATATCGCTCCGAGTTTCGATTTTTGTTCTGGGATGCGAAAATGCAGTGAAAATGAAACCGTACCTAATGTATGAGAAAGTTATGATCATCATGTGTATGACATTTTGTATATTATAATACCCTCACAGAATAATAGCAAACAAATGTACGTTTGCAAAGCATTATACCCGTATGATAAAATTGTTTTGCATGCTTATCTTAATTACAGTTTGTCTACTTTGTTTATTTTACATTTACGTAGACATTGTTTTTTACCTTTTTTTAACAAATAAATGCGCATATGACCTCTACCTCGCTTGATGGAATGCAACGATGGAGCAAGCTCGTCTATTATAATCCCTACTGACTCTCACCTTGAAAAGGCCAAGTTAATAGAATTCAGGGATCAAATGCAGGCAGGGAATTCCACCCCATATAGTGCGCCATATAAATGTGGAAGCGTAACGCTTCATGCGAATCCTTGGAAAAAAATTAAATTGAGAAGGAAAAACATCATTCTTTGGCTATATTAAAATTTCTAATTGTTGATTTATAAGTATAAGTCTAGTACTTGATACGCCCGTAAATTGTCGGCACGATTCTTTACTACTATCAAGCGGTATTTAAATTTAACAAAGTTTGCAAGAGTTTATAGCGAAAAGCTGTTTTCGTTTATACGGAACCGACTGTTACCACTTAATGCAGAAAAACTTGTCTTTGTCCACCATAATTTGCCTTTATTGAATTTTGAGTTCCAAATTAACGGATAACGGTATCTAACTTTATAGTTATTTACTGTTATAAGTAATTAATAGATTGTCAGCGGTGCTGTAGTTTCTGTTTATCCTATTACTATCCTCTTTAAACAATAAATCAATTTATTTGGCCTACTAATTGTGAATTGATCTCTGTTTTAAACATCCGGTATCCGGCCGGATATTGTTCTACTATCCGGTATCCGACCATATAGTAAAATTAGGCCGGTTAACTCAAATTTCAGAGAGGCAAAAAACATTAACTGTTTTGTTATATTATTATTATATGTCAGAAAAGTTGTTTGGTTTTACATACTGTACTTACCCTAAAATCCATTTAACCCATTTTTTTTACATACATAAACAAAAAATAAATAAAAATTTACAGAAATGAGAAAAAAAATTAAAAAATTAAATCAAAATTAAAAAAGTATGTGTGTGACGGACAAGACCTCAGGGAAATGTTGAAATAGTTTCTATATTTCTTACACCTTGTATTTTTGTGGCCATACAAAGCATTGAAATTGATATAGCTACTGGCTCTGCTTTCTTGACGATTTCAAGTCTAAGTGTAAATGTCAGGACTTGTATTGCATAAATTAATGCCATGATGCAATTTCATGGTTGTGATACTTTCAACTGCACAATTATTAATTTGGGTGTGATAAAAAAGTTGACCAATCTTTCAATCAACTACAAGGTGACAACTATAATCATATGACCAACTATCTTATGGTATTAGATTTAAGTTTGAATTTCCTACTTACACCTTTTGTGTACATTTTAAGTATTTAAAAGTTGAATTTTCGGAAAGTAATTAAACTAAGTAATATAGAAAAAAAACGAGAATGGCCTTACCAATACAGGATGTTATTTGGGTCACCGGAAAAAAAAATTAACATACAATTATATCTGAAATCTTAAAAAAAATAGCTGTTCATACATCACTTTATAATAACACAATTAAAATGTATGTAAAACTATAAACAGCCAATTTGTTTTCGCGCTGTCCGAGGAGTCCGCATAGTAAAAGTTGTTTTAATTTTTATGAGTACAATAAAACTTTTAACTATTGCGTAAACTTACTTTAAAAGTCTATACTACGTAAGCTCGAATTCAATTTTTTACCGTACTAATACGGTTCATTTTGCTTTGGTGGTGGAGCAGCAAGGACACTGGCTTTATTTCAGAATTTATTTGTTACAAACAAAATTAAAACCATTTGAAAAATTTATATCGTATAGTACACGTATTCTATTTAGTTCAGTTGATATAAAAATATATATATTGGTTACCTATTGAATACAGCGGTTTTCTTGTAAAGTTTGTGTTTTTTTTCTGTCGTGAAAACTTTTAGGAATCGTGTTTTCACACCGTATAGATATGTGTATCTTCAGTGTGTATCTTCAATTTTTCTATATATTTTATACAATGTTTTCACTGTTATGCGAAATCAACCAAAGGCATTTGAGATAGTATAGACTCGTAATGATTTGTACTTGGATGGATTTGATATTGGAATTGCAAACAAACTCAACTGTTTTATAAAAGATCATGAAAAAAACAAAAGCGCAAAATAAATCAGCTCTGATTTTATTTGTAAGTCAATGGCTCTGATGTACATTTTTGAAAAAGTTGATATGATCTTTTATAAAACATCATTACTCCATACTTCTGCATAGTAAAAGTAACCTCTTTAAAGATTTTCCGGCACCCAATATAAACTTTTGTAAAACTTTATATTTTCACTTCAAAAGCTAATAAGGTGTTTTCTCTAATTTCAGAATACTAATGTACAAGAAGCGTCAGGGATACGCACCTCTATCCACGGGCGAAGAAGTCAGGTTCCTGCTGAAGAAACCCTATACAGAGCTGCAAAGTTTGAACGGTGCCTCGACGGGCAGGCAACGGTGAAATCTATCTAAGATACGTACAAAACTACCTTTAATTTATGGCGTCCAGATTCAATCGAAAAAGAAAAGAAAAAAATCATTCGCGTTGAAAATGTAATAGGTAATTGTTACGAACTTTTTTGACACCGACTTGCTATTTAGGGTTATTTGTAAGACTATCAACCTCGCAAGATATTACTGACATCATAAACAACAAGTTTTGTAGGTACCATTACTTTTCAGAAAACCCAATTAATTTACCAAAAAGAAACATAAGTTATTGTGCATACTTAGTGTCTGACACTTTTTAGGTCTGTATTAGGTAGTAAGATAGTAAGTTCAAACATGCAAACAACCTCTCCGCTGATCCCCACTCCCACTCTTGCATTTCATTTATAATACAAGTTTTTACTTAGTTTAGGAGGCAACTGGTCCGTATTTAAATGATCACTGTACGACTTACGTTGTTTTAAAAAAAAATTATGTAGTGTTTAGTTTAAGCGTTGTTCCATTGTTAACCGGCTTAAAAAAAGGAGGTTTTCAATTCGTTTCAAAAAATGTTAGTCGATAACTTTTGTGAACCGATTTTGATGATTTTTTTTTAAAGTGGGTACCTCCTTAGTGGTCCCATTTGAATTTGAATAAAATATTCCACCTTAAGGGTGGCAAACTAGGTGATGAACGAATTTTGAGATCGGTTTTTTAGTACTCTGTACTGATTAAAGAAATAAATTATTATTATTATTGTATTTTGCATCGGACCGGTATTTACGCTGGCGCTTTTGTTACCGCATAGAGTTATCACCGTTTATAACAATCTATTTAAATGTTTTTATTCTTGTACGAAAGTAAAATCTGAGCCATTGATCAAAGGTTGTTAGTATTTTACGAACAACCTTATATAGTGGAATATTTTTTAGTTCCATTCGAATACTTTGGAGGCGTCACGAGCGACCATAAGTAAAGCCGGCACTAGGGATGCACATCACAATTCGATTTTTATGAAGATCGATTCAAGTGTATACGATCTGGCGATTTTTTGTATCGATTTAACTCAATGCGATTTTAAACAGCAAATCGATTCAACATTCAGGCGAACTGAATCGTCTAGATCGTATTCAGAATTTAAATAATACAGGCTCTTTCTGAACCCTTGCTTAATCGTTAGGTCAATCCTATTTTATATTGACCTTCAAGAAAAGTAATTTGGCAACATTTAAGTACAATAAGTTTACGATGCCTACGGCTGTTAAAACTTTTTATCAAAATTAATTTTCAAACGATTTTTATGAGATCAATTCAGATGCATACAGTCCATTACGATCCAAAGCAAAAAATCGTGCATGCCTACCCGGCACTGCATCTACCTAACACATATTAAAAAACATAGTCTACAACGTGTATGCAATTAACTTAGTTAAATATGGCTTCTAAGCCCCGAGTCATTTCGTCTGTTAATTTATAAATTGTAAGTAGTTTTTTTAATTGCAAACAAAAATGTGGTTTGTCATGAAAAAAATGGTGTTAATTTTCATCGATTAACGTTTTAGATAGATAGATACATATAACACAACATAAAACTAGATGGTTGCCATAGATAACAAAAGAATAATATATTTTGTTTTATTTGAACAATTTATGGATTTTTTCGCATTAACTGTGACGCCATAAACGGGGTAGTTTTGTACATTTACAAAACCTACGCCTCTTCCTTCGATCAATGACTATTGAAAAAAAAAGTATTTTTTTTCTGTTCCTATTATTTTGACGTGTAATCGGATATATCTACTATTAGTCTGCAAAGGAATTAAATATTTTAATTTAAAAAAGCACTATTAATTGATATATTTCTAAAAAAATCAAATTAAAGAAAAAATCAAATGTCGGATTTATTTAATTCCTTTAATAAGTTCAGACTTTTCGATAAATAGAAAATGCCTTTATCCGAGTACGGCAAACCTAAAAAGGAAGGGTAATGTTTTAGCAGACAGTATTTTTGTATGATTAATAAAATATAATAAAAGACCGTAGTGAATTAGGTTAATCGTAATCGGGTATTAGATTTTTTAAATTTAAATGTTGTATGAATTACAAAATTAAAACAAACTTAGGAAAATGGCGTTTGTATGATACCAGTTCTACATGTGCTGTGAATGAAATAAACTCTTGTAAATATAGTAATAAGAGATATTACCCTTTGGCTTGTATATTTAAAATTTATTTAATGCAGTCATTTTTTTAATAAAGCTCGACTCTAATAACTTCTGTGAAGCATTACAAATGATACATCCACTTTTTCATATAAGTTTTTTAATAGTTATTTTGAAATCACAGCTTTATCGTTACCTACTCTTATTTTTTTTAAATCGTGACCATTGTTTGGAAATTTATATTGTCTGCTTAAAGGTACTTTTAACAAGCAATTTTTATTTCGACAATTAGGTACATGACAATGAGAAGCTTCCTCATATGTAATAGATAACGTGATTGTTTTAAGAAGAAATTAAAGATTCATTCAATTTAATTATTTACGGGTCGCGTTCAGATATAACATGACAGTTAAGCCGGGTACTCACAGCGAGCTGTAACCGTAATCATTGCATGTTATGTTATCAAAAATCATAGTGTATACGTGGTTCGCGAGCTTGCCACGAATTACTCATAGCGAATGAAGACAAGCGTATTCACTAGAATAGCGTTATTGTGTCCCGCGCTTCCTAGCACCGCTCAAGCCTTGTTATTTCTTGACGCAAAAGGATCTGTTTACGGTAGCTTCGACATTTTAAGCTTCGTTATAAAACGTAAATAAGAAAATTTTGATATTCACTAAAATGTGAATTTACTAGAGAAAAACACGTCCTTTCTCTTCGGAAGTTTTGATGGGAATGACGACGGAACGTAGCAAAGTAAGAAAAAAAAAGCAATTAGAGGACGATTCAAAATTTTAAAAGTAAATGGCCAGGAACCTGAGAAAAGGGGTGATAAAAAGTTTGGGTGACGCTGAAAAAGGTCGCATCGCCACAACTGTATCAGTCACGTTTCAGTTCGCTAATGAGTACCCGGCTTTATGTAATGAATGGGGAACCACAGGTAAAACTAATCTCACATAGCGCCACCATCACTGGTGACAGTTATCACTTGTCATGTTATAATTTTAAGGCGTTACATTTTGCTCTTCATAGAATTAATCAGTATATCTGCTTTTGCCATAAAACTTATTACGTTTAAAGTTACAGAGATTGTCTTTTTTTGACGACGGAGTAAAATGACATTTGTAGGGTTGTCAGTTTTCATAAAATTTTAAATATTTATGTACTTGTAGTCGATAGTTTTATCGATAGATAGTGAAAAATAAAATTTTGCCAAAAATGACTGAATTGTAAATGTTACGACGTTATAATGGTCTTTTTTAGACAGTTGGCCTACTAGTATCGAGATCAATTTTCATTTATTTACATTTTAACAAAAGTAGCCGGATTTGATTATCTATATAAAATAATCTCTCTAGTATTTTTCATAAACATAGTTCTAAATACAGTGTCAAATGGACTTGTACTCAGTAATTGACTGTACTATGAGTCGAGGATGATTCAAATGAAACAATAATACGGATATTTATTCCATAAACGTGACTAATATTTAGCCGATAGTCGATCGAATATTTATCGACTGCAATCACTAGCTGCTCGCAAGCGGGCAACACTTTTACGCAATAAACTGTAATTTTACTCCTTCTTCAAAAAATACAGAATACAGCCTAAAAGACGCCTTGGTGTCCAGTTTTTCTGGATACATTGATCCATTGCCTCTTTAATTTCTGAAGGAACCGGTGTCCTTCAAAAAAAATAGAGGAGGAGTTCTATGTAAAAATTCCTTATCTGGGTATGCGTGTGTCATATCTTTCCGAAGCATTGTAACTCCTACACGAATCCAAACAGCACCAGCGATCATGCGCCACCTAGCGGGATAAATTAGTCGGTGTGCTTCCCAGTTGTAAGTGAAAATAAATTCCGAACATCTGGCAATTGACGGTCATATTATAGTTTTTATTTTTTGTATCCCAACTTTTTTCCATGAACAAAGTAGATGAAATGTTTTCATTATTTTTTTATTTATTTATTCTTTTAACATGGTATAAAATAGTATTATTAGATATCGTAGCACATAATCTTAGTTATAAGTAGCCAATTTTAGTATTTTTGTAAATACATTTTAATTGTGTGTATTTTTCTGCATTTATTAATTTGAAATTGTGATTTCAGAATACTATTTAAAAAAATTTCGTAGTAGGTATAACAGGTGTAGAATAACGAATGAATAGATCTTTACCTCGCCATCTCAAATATCTAAGATCTAAAGACTTGGGCTCAATTTACCTTGCTGCAAAATGGGATAGAACCAAATTTTTGTAACCATAGCATAATCAACGTAATGTAAATTGACAATAGCACATTTTCCCCAAAACCCCATTAAAATATTTCTCTTCTAGTCGCATGTTTTGTCATCCTATTCATATATATTTTTTAACTAGTAATTGTTGAGAAAAAATAAGGAGCAAAATTGAGTTTTGAAAGATCCGCCCGGGAAATTGTCGTCTGTGTGACTTACTCCCTGAATAAAAACCGGTAATAAGTTTGATGAATTAATTAAATGCCAAATATTTTTAGTTTACCGGCCTTGGGTGCGTGCTATTTAGAGATTTATTGTTTATTATTTTTAAACTATAAAGATGTCTCTCTTGTCTACTTTTCCATAAACAGTATTACCTAATATAATTTATTATATAATTAAATTATATATTGTACCATAGGAAACACATATTCAAATAAGTTTAGTATCGGTTTTTCTCGTCATTAGTCGTGACGTCAGACTGACGACTGGAAAGCTTCTTCGAAATTTAAATTATTGAATTTAAATAGAAAACAACAGTATATAAAAAATGCGTGTTATCACTTTTGATGTAGATTCTAATTCGGTCTTAGAAAATATATGTGAAAAATTGCTATTGTCAACTGTGTAACGTACAAACTAGATACGAGCCAAAAAACTAGTCGCGCGTCTTCCGGAGAATTTTCGCGCTTTCTCGAATACCCACACCCACCCAACCCACAGCAAACGTATCGCATCTAGTTTGCACGTTAGATAATTGAAAAAAAAAAATCATTATGCTATGTACAGTCAATGCTCTAACATACCCAACCCCTAGCCGACCTATTGGTTCTGCCGAAAAGTGTAAAGGAATTCCAGCTTTATGCTAGAAATTTGTATTCTGTATTTAAGTAAGCATACGTTAAAGATCAAATTGGCATAAAAAGTTTCTTAAAATGTCATTCATTAGTAATGCAGTAAGGAAATCATAACCAATGGTTGGAATAAGGTGTTCCAAATGAATGGATAAATGTCTACATATATATATAATTAAATAACAAAAATTGCCACGGAAATTAGGTAGTGAACACTAGTCCGAGAATGACCGATTTGTAATTTACGAATTTCATTCAATTTCATTATGAATTCTAAAAATGTAATTAATTCACATTTGGTAGTTTTAATTACTCCGATCATTGGTCATAGCAAAATTAATTTTACGGCTTTCAAGTTAAAGGTTTTGTTTGTTTAACATTTTTT